GGAAGGAAGGAAGGAAGGAAGGAAGGAAGGAAGGAAGGAAGGAAGGGACTGGGCATGTTCACCTACTCTATAAATTTCCACCCATCTCTGGGCTCTGGACAACGGCTGGACACAATGACTCTTAGGGTCCCTTCCAACTCTGCAGTTTGAAGATCATTATTATTACTACTACTACTACTACTAAAATCTGGTTTAATGACCTCTCCTCTGTTACTTCCTGCCCCCCAAGAAGCTCTGCCTGACATTTTTCATACTGGAATGAATCTTAGCATTCCAGATCAGAATCTGACTGTCTGGCTGCCCATTGCCCTCTGACTCCTGCTTTCCCTCCTCAGCTCTGTTCTTGTTCCTCCCCGCCCCCCCCCCATGTAAGGGGCCACAGAAGAGCTGAGTCACTACCAGCCACAAAGGAGCTGCCAAGGTGAGATCCAGATCGTGCTTTTAGAAACTGTCCCTTTCTAAGCTCCCATGGCATCTCAATGACGAGACACAATAGCATCATTTTTCCACCAACAGGTAAAGGTCTTTTTATTCATGCAAGAGAGCTTGCTTGTTGCAGAAAGCACTTTTATAATCCTAACTGTAAATCGTTGGGCTCTATCCTTTCTGTTACTGATGTCTTCTCAAATTGGGTTTTAAGTTTGTATACTTTTCACTTTACGATATTTAGTGGTAACCTTACCCTTTTAGGCAGCCTTGAGCCCCATACACAGGGAGGAGGCAGGAGAAAAATCAAATAAGAATCACTGTGGTAGAGTGATGACTGTGCTTGACTGGAACATGGGAAATTCAGATGTAAGCTTCCACTGTAGCCATGCAGCTCCCCTGCCCCCCCCCCACAGAGCCTGACCTGCCTTACCAGGCTGTTGTGCAGATAAAGTAGGGAGGAGAGCCATGTTATTGGAGAACCCCTAGGAAAGTTTTGAAGCTGCTTTTTAAATGTTCCTTGTGGGGTTTGAGTAATTTTAACCTATTCTACTCTACTTTGGGAGCACAGCTGGTCACAAAAGTGGTAAGCACGTGCTTTAAATAAATCTTGTTGGAGAAAGGAGAGGCAAACTAAACAGACAGATATGCAGAGAGCCAGCCAGACATTTTGGGCTAGGTAGCCCCTCTGTGGCTTGGCAAAGAGGCAGCTGAGTCAATCCATGCCAACAGCTGCACCATCACCACCGGTTCAGGTGATTTAAAACATAGGAAGTGTCACACATTTTTGTGGGCAATCCTAAGCATTACGACCACCCAAGATTGCATAAATGTGTCTGCAGCTGGTTGAGGAACAAAGCTATACCCCCACCTTGACGGTTTTGCTCTGGCCCTAGATTCTACTATATTTAGGGTCCACGACTAAATATAGTAGAATCAGCTTT